AGAGAGGGCGCAAAGCAGCAGCATGCGTTCATTTTTTTCTACCCTGATTATGGTTTGGATGTGCCTAGCTGTTGAAAGCTCCTGTTGCTCTGTTTCCCTGCCAGTGACCACTATGTGCTCAGACTGAACCAGAATAAATTCTGTCTCCATTAAGGTGCCTTTTCAGAGTGCTTTATCATAGAAAAAGGAAAATAAACTAAGATATTAATTTTTAGAGGATTATGATGAAAACACTACATTGTAAGTTGCCTATTTATTAAATGATAGTCACGTAAAATAAAAGAAATATTAGCAGTGATTAAACATTTTAATGAACTAAAAGAAACCTTAAAATAAATTCCACTAGACAGAAAAATTCAGCACATCTTCAATAAAGAAACGTTGAAATAAATATTTCTGCATAATGTAATTCTGATCTGCCAAATGTAGTGAAGAGCATCAGAAGTGACGTGTAAGGACCAGTATGTGGCTCAGTGGGTGACAGCTTTTGCTGCCAAGCCTGACAATTAGAGTTCATCCTCTATGCCTACATTGTACAAGGAGAAGGCTGACTTCTGTAAGTGATTAGGTTGTCCACTTACCTTTGTATGCACACCTCAGCACAGAAGCATACACACACACACACACACACACACACACACACCTTTAAAAACTGTGTTTGAATATAGGAGACACTTGTATTTTTATCAGTGTATATTAATTGTAAAATGTGACTGGTTTAGCTGTTGTATTTCCATATGTAAGCATACACAATCCATCTATTACCATTTCCTGTCTCAAACCTTCTTTCCCATGTCAGCTTCCATATTCCTTAATGAAGTGCCCTTCTTTCATGACCTTCCTTTATTTTTCCCTTAGAATCCACAGAAGAGATGCCATGTACTCTCTTATAAGACTGGCCTGTTTCACTTAACATTGTTCTACAAGTCTATCAGTTTTCCTGCAATGATACAGTTTAATTGTTTTTTGATGTTGTTGTTGCTTTTTTTTAAATATTTTTATTTTATAATTAACTTAACTTCGCAAATCAGCCACAGATTCCCCTGTCCTCCCTCCTCCCACCCCCATCCCTCCCCCCAATCCACTCCCTATTCCCACCTCCTCCAAGACAAGGTCTTCCCTGGGGAGTCAGCCCAGCCTGGTAGACTCAGCCAAAGCAGGTCCAGTCCCCTCCTCCCTACACCAAGGCTGAGCAAAGTGTCCCAGCATAGGCCCCAGGCTCCAAAAAAGCCAGCCCATGCACCAAGGACAGGTCCTGACTCCACTGCCTGGGGGCCTCCCAAACAGTTCAAGCTAATCAACTGTCTCACTTATCCAGAGGGCCCCAGTCCAGTTCCATGGAGGCTCCTCAGCCATTGGTTCACAGTTCATATGTTTCCACTAGTTTGGTTATTTGTCATGGTCTCAATATCTCTCGCTCACACAATCCTTCCTCTCTCTCGGGACTCCCGGAGCTCCACCTGGGGCTTGGCTGTAGATCTCTGCAACTGCTTCCACCAGACACTGGATGAGAGTTCTATCATGACAGCCAGGGTGTTTGGCCATCCAATCACCAGAGCAGGTAAGCTCAGGCACTCTCTTGACCATTGCCAGTAGTCTACAGTGGGGGGTACCTTTCTGGATTTCTGGGGACCTCTCTAGCACTCTGCTTCTTCCTATTCCCCTGGGGTCTTCATTCATCATGGTATCCAGACAGGGTTTTTCTATGTAGTTTTGGTGCCTGTCCTGGATCTTGCTCTGTAGACCAGGCTGGCCTCAAACTCACAGAGATCCACCTGGCTCTGCCTCCTGAGTGCTGGGATTAAAGGCATTTGCCACCACCACCCAGCCAGTTTAATTGTTTTTGGCTGAGTAAAAATTCCATTATGTTTTTATACTATACTTTGTTAATTTAACAGTTGATGGGCATATAGGCTGACTTCATGATTTGGCTACTGTGGATAGTATTGTGATAAATACAGGCATTCATGTATTTTGAGAGTGAGTTGGCTTTGGTTTGTTTGTTTGTTTGTTTGTTTGTTTGGACATTGCAGATAGATAGATAGATAGATAGATAGATAGATAGATAGATAGATGGATAGATAGATCCAGGGGTATATTATTGCTGGAACATATGGAAGTGTGTGTGTATGAGTGTACGTGGTACACACACACAAGTGTATGCATGTGCATGCACCTGTACATGCACAGTAACCAACAGACAGTGTCAGACATCTTTCCGCATTGCTCACTGTTTATTCCCTTAAGACACAGTCTCATAAACCTTATCTAGGATGACAGCCGTCCAATTCTCAGTTATCCTCTTGTCTCTGCTTCCCATAATGCTATGTTTACATACACAGATGACTTTCCATTCCTAATTTTGTATGTTGGTTCTGGGGATATGAACTCAGGTCCTCATGGTTGAATTGCAGATGCTCTTATCCCAAGGCAAAGAAGTTTTTATTTTGTTAAATATGTTTTACTGATTTTTTTGCTTAACATTAAATGTACACATTGGGTGAATAATGTATAATAATTTAATATATTAGACTTGATTTTAAAAGATGGGTTCTGTTGTTTACCAGATACACATGCAGAAAAACGCACAGATAACACCTAAGGCATTGTCTGGAGTGATAAAACTACCAACCTTCTAGGTTTTTTTTCTACTTTGGCATCATTAGTCTATGTTATTTCTTATTTCTTGAACACACTCACACCAGTTACAGGTGTGTGATAATTATCTTGATTGTCAGATTAGCAGGATTTAGAATCAACAGAAACACAAGCCTCTAGGTTTGTCTCAAGTGAGTTTCTAGATTGACTAGGCTAGGTGAAATGAAGATACTTACCTTCACTCTGGGCAACACCATTTCATAGGCTCAGGTCAATAACCTGCATAAAAGAGGGAAGTATGCCGAATAACAGAACTCAGCTCCCTCTGTGCTTCCTGGCTGCAAATGCAACATTATCATCGACCTCAAGTTTTTGCATGAACAATTCTCCAGTGTGGTGGACTATACCATCAAACCATGAGCCAAGATAAATTCTTCCTTTTGTTTTGTTTTTGTTACTGTTTTTTTTTTTTAAAGATTTATTTGTTATGTATACAGCATTCTGCCTGCATGTGTCCCTGCAGGCCAGAAGGGGGCACCAGATCTCATTACAGGTGGTTGTGTGTCATCATGTGGTTGCTGGGAATTGAACTCAGGATCGTTTGGAAGAGCAGCTGGTGCTCTTAACCACTGAGCCATCTCTCCAGCCCAAATTCTTCCCTTTGTAAATGGCTTTGGTAAACTGTTTTGTCTCAGCAACACATGAAGTAACAAGTTCAAGTTCTGTATCTACTTATGCACAATGATCTTCTTGTGTTTCAAATGCCAACACCTGCTTTAATAACTTCACTAATCCCAATCAGTGGACAGGTAAAGTTCTTTTGTGAGCTGATCTCATAAACTATTTTGACATTATTCAACATGGGTTACTGAGTTATTTGTTATACTGCAAATCATATATACTTGAGGAAAAATGATTAAATGAACAGATAAAATATTATTTTTGTATTCATCAGGGTGTAATTTGACATCACTTCCTCATTTTAATTCCATCACTCTCAGAAGTTTTAGCCATTCTGAAATGAGGGGTCTTGGAAGGCAAAATCTCTCTTATATTTTATGTCATTAAACTTCTCTATCAATATACAGGTATTATAAAAAGAGTTCAAGTTAAACAAAATATGGACATGCCAGCCTACAGTATAAGGATAGTATGACACAGAAAATTCAATCACTCAAACATGAACAAGATTTGTAAAGAAGTTCTGTTTCCTTAATCTTTGCTCAGCAACCATCATTCACTCAGCAAATAATTATGAGTTCCCTTCTCTGCTGTTTTCAAGAATAAAAATCATTGAAGACTGAGATGTAAAGAGGGAAAGTGGGCACAGTTAATTCACAGTGAATAGCTGCTGAGAAAGAGAACTTGCTTTCTTCAATATAGTGATACTAAGTGTATTGACCATAGTATAGGGCAGGACCTATGTTCAGGAGGAGTCAGACACTATTTTTTTTTTTTATTTTTCAAGAGAGAGATAGCATTGAAGCAGTAGGTTAGAAGGTAGGAGATAATCTAGGAGGAGTTGGAAGAGGAAGAAGAATATGATCAAAATATACTGTACGAAATTCTCAATAAATAAAAACATTTTAAAAAATTAGTGTGATTCACAGGAGCTGACCCTTCAAAGTTAAATTATATTCATTCTCAAATTAAAAATTCTAAATACACTAATTTGATTTAGATTTAAATTAAGAATACAAATTGTGAATGAAAATCTGATTTTCTTCTTTACATTTATTATGACCTTTTTTGTTTGTTTCTTTGTTTGTGAGAGTTTCTATGAGTAACCACGGCTGTCCTGGAACTTGCTCTGTAGACCAGGCTGGTCTCAAACTCACAGATCAGGCTACCTCTGTCTCCAAAGTGCTGATTAAAGGAATGTCAACTTCCTAAGACAATAATTTTAAAATATCTGACTAGTAGGTTCTAATAACCTTTTAAGGAGAAATTAAGAAATGCCTCCATTAATAAAATTTCATTTTTTCTGGATATTTTTGGGAAAAGATTGACTTTTGGAACATCAGTTATCTTAACATAGTTACAATTTATAAACTAATCATCGTAAAAGAAAGCATAATAGCCTCAGTATTGTCATGAAGCAGAAGAAAATCTTTCCCCGGAGGAACTATGGAGGTCTGTGCTCGACAGGAAACAGCTGGCAGACAAGCACCTTGATCCAAAAAACCGAATTGATGTTTGAGTCACAACTGCAGATCTTTTTGACATATAGTGAAGCTTGAAAGTTGTAGATCACTTGTATTACTTGGAATATCTCTATTTTGCTTTTAAATCAGTAAGTGAACTTTCAATGAGTGGACAATAGCTTTAAAATGTCATAGAATCTTTGTTTACAGAACATTAGCTCAACTTTATAAGAGTAGTTTAATTGAATCATCACATACTCTATTTAAGAAGTAATTTTAATTACTATACCAAAAGTAGTACACCACAGAGCTACAGGCAACTGAGTACAGCTGGAAGAGAGGGGGGCGGGGTTCCCAGGGAACAGCACACTGACTGATTGTCCAGTACAAAGCAGTCAGCCCTGAAAAATACATACAGGTAACATTATATTGATTTAACACATTATATTTAGGAATATACATGTATATACAAATACATACTGACATGCACTAAAAATTGGTATAAAAACAGGCCATGTGTATGGAGGCATATAACGAAGAGTTTACAAGGAGGAAAGAGAAGGAAGAAATGTTATAATTAAAATACAATCTCAAATATAAACAACAAAAAAAATGTAAGTGTATTGTCTTGTCTCAGCTTCAAATGCAAAATGTAAGCATCTTGTAATGTTATATTATTTGAGCATGTATGTTGCATTGGGGAGATATTTGACCTGACAAGACAATCTTCTAGAACAATATTTAGGTCAAATATAAGCAAAATTGCTATGTAAAATATTTTAAAGTTTATTTGAACATCCTGAAATATGGTTTAAATAGTTAAAGCACATTTAAAATAATATAAACATAATTAACAGGAAACGATCATAACTAACAAAACTCACATGACATGTGGAGGAGAAGTTAGACGTGTTTGAGGTAATTTGCTGTCTTTATAAAGCTGAATGAAATGATTTGATCTAAGTGGATGAATCATGATATAGAAAGGCTTATTATTAAAACTGTGGTGTTACCAACACTGTTACAGATGAGAGCTAGAAGTTATTAGATAGATCTTCAATCTTGACTACTCTGTCCATGGCACTGGAATGGTCTCTCCCCTCCAACCTAGGAACAACGTAGTTACATTTGAAATTATTAAACCATTGAGAATTTTTACATAATTTCAAAGAGATGCATGAGCCCATAATTATCCAAATTGAATTACATAAGCCCTTTCTAACATGCAAAGTCACTCAAGTTTAGTTAAATTTCAGAAAGTTGATCCCGAGCTACTTTGGCCCATAAACATACAGTATTGAAAAACAAGAAGAGGAAAAGACAACTCTCTCAGAGACTGTATAAGCACAGCTTGTCCCCCAAAACATGGCTATCATTACTATCTCCAGGACTTCCTAAAATGCTGATTCTCAATATAGAATTCTACTATTATGAAACCAAATTAGTATGAAATTATTTAACTGGTTTCTGATTTCTTTTCTCTTTTATCTGCTGTGGTCCTGTAGCTTGGGACCACACCTGATTATTCTGCTTTGACTACATATTCAGGGGTAATTTAAAAACCAACTGTCATGTCTAAATAAGTCAAGCTGGAATTAGAAGGTTCATAGACACTTATATACATTATATAGGATTCTAAGTGTTCAAAGTTAATTTATTTTCTTCAGATTGCTAGTAGCAATCCTGTTATAATTCAATGGAGACCTGAACAGTTTCTCTAAACAATAAATATCCCGATTTTGAACTTCGGCAATCCAAGGAATTTGGCTCATGTACAGGAGTTTTCCTACTGCCAGCTTCTTGCCCTGCCTTGATCCCTCCACCTCCACCAGAAAATCTTTTTAGAGTCGTCAGTGGCCCATTGACAGTAGCGCTCTTGGTGTGCCGTGCTCTTGTTTCACACTGTGAAATTCTGCCTGCCAGACAGCGCCGTAGGGAAATGGCACCATTGACGGGGCTTTTTCCTGATGTTTCCATATCCATTTCTGGTGAAGATGCTTTGTCCTGTTTTGCAGCCCTTTCGCCTTTGCAAAGGGCTGCTTTCCCGAGAGCCTTGCTCCAGTCTCGCGGACCAGAGTGCGTTCTTGTCAGTTCTCAGGTTGATAGCCCATCACAGAGCAATGTCCAAACACAAGAAATTGTGATAATTAAACTTCTTTTTCTCCCTTTGCACAGAATAACTAATTGTAAAAATTGGCAGTCAGCCTGCCTTTTGAAAGTGAAGAAAACATCTTGTTTTAACATCTGAGCACGGCTTTTTTTTTGTAATCTGTAAACAATTGGACCATATGTAGTGTGATGGGAAACATGAAGGCTGAGACAGAACACCACGGAAGGAACCTTACATGTAACCACTGCTCTTTGATTCCCGGAAATAGGATTGCCTTTAAACTTCTGGGTTTTATCATAATTTTAAGCAGACAGATTTTTTTGAATAACAGATAACTCTGACAATTTACCAAAAGGCAAATAATTCCATGTTTTTAATGTAAATATGTTTTAAAATCATTTTAACAGGTAACAGATGTTGTCATGGGCATTTACAGCCTTTGTTTGGGCCTGAAATCCACTTCAGCCATACAGTCTCCACACAATATGGTTTGTCACTTAGGAGGTTAATTTCTTTTCTGAATAAATTCTCTTAATCACGTACATTATCTACCACCGGTTAAATAAAAATCTTTTAAAGCAGTGAAGCCATAACTTCTAATTCTTTTGTGTTTCAATCTCTTATGCATATCCTGGGCAAATTGAATATATTAGTTAAAAGAAGATTCATATAACTGTTGAAAGTTTGATATGTTATAACAAGTCCTGTTATGGTCAAAAATGCAGTAGTCTGTAACATGGGCTGTAACATGGGGCAAAAAGAGATGTATTTGGGGATGGGGTAACATGGCCTTCTCCAATTTGTCTAGATCTCATATTTTCTGTGACTAACTCTATTCTCCTGTGTCTTGGAGGTCTCATCCCTAAAATTAGCTGGTTTTGTAAGGTCAGAGGGGATGAACAGTAAATTAGAACTGTGGGAACAGCTTTGCAAAACCTAGAGGTTTTCTTTTTTATTTACCCTGCTCTTTATCTCCATGTATTCCACCCACCCACCCCCAAACTACTACAGGAGATCAAGTGGCATGATCGAAAGTAAGTCATATGAGAGAAACTCTGACCCAGGCAATCACCCCATAATAGCCTCTTTGACACTATTGAAGGTTTAAAAGCATGTTGTCAGATGTGTTAGCTGCCATAGGCTTGAACAGATTTTTGCTTGGTGAAAGTTTTGATTTTTTTTCAATTTTATGTTTTAATATTGTATTTGGACTCTACGATAAATTTAAGTATGATTACTCCCTAAACATGTACTGGTGTTTTGCTCTAAGCAGCTTATGGTTCAACAGTCTCCCAACTTCACTCTACTCTGGAAAGTTGCACTTAGAGGTCTCAGCCAATAAGCCAAACATGACAAAGGAGCATTCCACTTCTGTGCTGTAAAAGTTGTACTTACCTTGTTTCCATGAAACTAACCTCGGTTTCCAAGGAAACACGAACAAAAAGGCAGTTGGCAGCTAGCATCTGGGACTTAGAACTCTCACATGTCAATTTCAACTGCTGGCTGCCAGCTCAAACCTAAAAACACAGGGTATTAAAATCACCTTCTGACTTTAACAGACAAAAGAATATTAAATAAGTTCTTAATGTGTAAATAATTTAGTATAATTGAAAATCATTCAAAATACATTTTGAAATAATACAACAAAGTAAATATGTTTCAATTATTGGAAATAACTCAAAGTAAATTTTTGTTTTAAAACATTAGGCAGACATATTGCAAAGATTTTTTTTTCAAATTTATGTCATTTTTTTCAGACACTTTTCTGAAATTTTGTTGACTTCTTTCTTACTATTTACTTTGCTTCCAGCTTCTAACTTTCTTTTCTTTCTCTCTCTGTCTCTCTCTCTTTCTTTCTTCCTTTCTTCCTGACTCATGAAAAATACACAGCTGTGTTTTGTGCACAAAGTTTGTAGTCACTCACTAGAATTTTAATAAAGTGTTTGATGACGAAACATGAGAATAGATTAACCCTTTCTCTTACGAATATATTTAGTGAACTGGAAAGATGGCTCAGTGCCTAACACCAAAGTTCCACTCACAGAACCTACATACTGGAAAGAGGAATTCTGGTAAGTTGAACTCTAACCTTCATAAACATGCTTGCTATGGCACACGTGTCCCCACTACTAAATACATGAAAGCAATCACACACACACACACACACACACACACACACACACACACACACACACACACTAGCATAATTGACTTTGCTGAATAGTGATGAATACTTTGTATGACTATGTATGGCTATGTAAGCAGATTTGTTGAGACCTTTTTTATTTCATATAGTCTATAGGTTTTAACTTCATAACTCCAAGGACCACTTGGTATACCATTTATAAATGAACTTAGAAGTTCATTAATTTGGAAGAGTTGGAAGAAAGATTGTAAGAGTCAGAAGCAGTAGATGATCATACCTAAAGAGTGTTTTCTAGACACAATGGAGCTCATGTGAACTCATGGAGGCTTTGACTGCATGCACAAGACTTGTCCAGGATCAATTCAAACAAAATTCAAGCATGGAGGAAGGTGGTTAGGAATCTCTCTTCCCCCCCAAGTGAGGAGTTATTGACAATGAATAGTGCCTGGAAGAGGGATTTTCAGTTTTATCCAGGGATGCAGCCCCTTAGAAACTACCCAGGCTCCAGGAGATGGGCCTATACCCATGACACTGGGAGTGCTAACTGTATTCAGTGAGTTTTAAAAAAGAACACATAGAATTGAGAGAACATAGTGGTTGGGTAGATAGCTTAGGAATTAGAGGAGAGGGAATAGGGAACAGACTTTACCCAAACTCATTATATGTTCATATAAAATTCTTAAACAATAGATGAGTATTGCTTAAGAGTAAAAAATTAAATTAAAAGAAATAAACTTTTCTGAAATGCAAGGTTTGCTCAGGGAAAGGTGATAAATCACATAAATAGTGTGCTGGTTTGAATTGGAATGGGCCCCATAGAGTCATGTGTTTGAATGTTTGGTCATAGGGAGTAGCACTATTAGGAGATGTAGCCTTGTTGGAGGAAGTTTGTCACTGGGGAGTGGGCTTTGAGGTCTCAAATGCTCAAACCAGGCCTACTGTAACAGTCTCTTCCTACTGCCTGCAAAACCAGATGTAGAACTCTCAGCTACTTCTCCAGCATCATGTCTACCTGCATGCCACTGTGCTTCCTGCCATGATGACAGTGGTCTAAACCTCTGAACTGTAAGCCAGCCCCAGTTAAATATTTTCCTTTGTAAGAGTTGCCATTGCCATGGCATCTCTTCACATCAATTGAAACCCTAACTAAGACAGATAGATAGAAAGATTGATGTGTAGCTAGAAAGACAGAGATTCAGTTTATACACATTCTCCATTTTGAGTTTTATGATTTCATGATACTCTTTGAGACTATCAATTTTAGCTAAAAATGTTGGTCTTTCAGGCTTTTCTCTTGTGATGATCGCACAACATTTTTATATACTAGTGTCCTTGAAGTCCAGGACACCTGTGCAAAAAAAAAAATCTTAGAAGTTATGTGCAGTAATCAATTGAATTTTTAACATGAACTCATTATATCACTGTTCTTGGTAACAGAATATGAGGTAAGTTTTAATAATTTTGGAAATTGTTGTCATGTTAGATTTAGAAGTAAACTTTCTTTACCATGGTTATTTAAGAACATCATTTTATTGCAGCTTCTATTAATTTTTCTACCTCTCTCTATATATTTATAAAATTCTTTACCTTTTTCTTTCTTGATAATAATCACTTAAATTATGCTTTTTAATTTATGAATTTAAATAATAATTAATATTTTCAGTTTGAATAAGTAAGTAAAGTAGATTTTGCCGATGTTAGAAAGTCATTTTTTCGCAAGAGGAGAAATGAACAGAACAACAGAACTGGCTAGGTGATCGTTAAAGCTTATGCAGGAGAAGTTTATGAAGAATCAACATGTAGTGTTAGAAATCATAAAGCTAATACTCTAGGTATGAGACACTCATAATGTAGGAAAATGATGACCACTTCACTCAAAATTCAGTCCAATTATGAGGATAAGCCAAACAGTATTATTATAGTTTTCTTAATGAAGATATAATTTACATACTCCAACATACACACTTTTGAATGTATTCTGAATTTTAGTACATCCACTGTCTTGTACAACCTTCACCATTATCTATCAAGAACATTTAGAAGTTCGCTGTTAGAAGGCCTATACTTAATCCAGCCCCTCTGTATTTCCTCTTGGATTCTCTAGGAAATATGTGTTTTCTCTGCCATCTCACAGACTTGCTTATTCTAAATATTTCATATAAAAAGGATCATGTAACATGTGACCTTTTCTGTTTGGCATCTTTCATTAATCATGAAATTTTATAAGGTTCATTCATGTTGTAGCATGTATTAGTACTTTACTCTTTAACACTGAATAAAATTCAATTGAATTGATATATTTATATATTTATCTGTTCATCTTTTTATGGTAATTTTCTCTTGTTTTTATATTTAGTTATTATGAACTACTCTTTTATGACACTGTGAACAATTTTGTATGAACATACACTTTCAGCTTTTATATATAAACACATACACATGTGTTTGGTCATATTATAATTCCAAAATATTAACTTTTCTTTTATTGAAAATAGATAGTATATTTTGATTTTGGATTCCCCTCCCTCTATTCCTCCCAGTTCCTCCCCACCTTCCTTCCCATTTAAATCCACTTCTTTTCTGTCTCTCACTAGAAATGAAGAGACTTCAAAGAGATATTAAAATATAACAAAATAAAATACAATAAGATAAAACAAAATGATTTTTTATTAAAACAATAAAAAAGTTATAATATTTTCAAATGGACAGATTTTTTTATGCAATTTTATCCACAAAATTGATCTTTAGAAATTTTTAACAAGGAATACAAATGAGAAAATATAGTAAGTCAAAGACAATCTTTGTTAGTGTAATAGTTTCTGGATGTGTTTTTCTATGAGATTATTAGTAACAAATAATTGAGTGTGACATCCTCATATATCAGCTCTGTTAATTCCACATATAATTACAAGAACATATACAAATATAGGTTCAAATTTTCTAGTCAAATTAAGCAGGAAGTTAACAGTAAACATGATAGTCAGTACTGTTCTACACAATTATGTCAACTTGACACAGGGTTGAGTCATCTGAGATAAGGGAGCCTGAGATAAGGGAGCCCCAGCTCAGAAATTGCCTCCATGAGATAGGGGTGTAGGCAAGCCTACTGTAGCATATTTGCTTATCTAATGATTGATGGGGGAAGGTCCAGCCCATTGTGGGTGGGATCATCCATCCTTTGTCTCTTGCTTCTGGGTTCTATGAGAAAACAGACTGAGCAAACCACAGGGAGCTAGCAAGTAAGCAGTACTCCTCTGTGGTCTCTGTACCAGCTTCTGCCTCCAGGTACCTGCCTTGTTCGAGTTTCTGTCATGACTTTCTTCAATGATAGACTGTGGTGCAGAAGTATAAAGCAAATAAACCTTTCCTCCCCAACTTGCTTTTGATCAGGGTGTTTCATCACAGTGATAGAAACCGTAATTAAAACAAGTACATAGTCTCCAATTTATAATGGTTTAGTTGATGACTTTTTTTTTTTTTTTAATGGTGGCATGAAATCACTGTAGACTCAATAAAAATTGTCCTTGGAAATGTAAATCTTAATCTTTTCCTGAACCTGAACCATTGTAAACTGTCCCCACCCTTACATCAGATGGTGAGCACTGACTGTGAACCACAGCATTTAGTTCTACGCCACCAAGGTTCCACTACTGCTCTTCCACAATGTTGTGTTACTAAGCTGTAGCATTCAATGACACAGTTGGCTTAGGTGCATTTATAAATCTGATATTTTAAACATATGATGAGTTTGTATAGTCAGTTTAAAAAGTGTATGTTTTAGCCGGGCGGTGGTGGATCACGCCTTTAATCCCAGCACTCGGGAGGCAGAGCCAGGCGGATCTCTGTGAGTTTGAGGCCAGCCTGGGCTACCAAGTGAGTTCCAGGAAAGGCGCAAAGCTACACAGAGAAACCCTGTCTCAAAAAAAAAAAAAAAAAAAAGTGTATGTTTTTGTACATGAAGTCAAAAGTCACTGTTCAAATGCAGAAGTGGAAATTTTCCTTTCACTAAAGTCTCCAGCTTCATGTTCTACACATTATCTTTGACATACTCATTTCATCCTAATATTTTTCAGATCTCCTCTAATTTCTTTGAAAGAAGGAATTTAATTTACTTCTTACTCTCTGTATTTTTCTATTATAATGTGAATAGAATTTCTTTGTGTGTATATCTGCATGTTTTAGATACTATTTTATTTTATTTACTATTCTTCTCTCATACAACACATATCAAACATAGCCACCCTTTCTTCTCCCTCTCCTAATAACCCCCAACTGTGGTGATATATTGTGTCCCCCAAAATATTGTGCACCCTAATAAAACTTATCTGGGGTCGGAGAACACAACAGCCACTAGATTAGACATAGAGGCCATTGGAAACAACCTAGATGTCCCCCAACTGAAGAATGGATAGAGAAACTGTGGTATACTAACACAATAGAGTATTACTCAGCTGTTAGAAAAAAGTGGCATCATGAAATTTATAAGCAAATGAGTTGAACTAGAAAAAAATTGTTTTGTGTGAAGCAACCCAGACCCAGGAAGACAAACATATTATATATTTTTTCCTAAGTGGATATTAGCTGTTAAGTAAAGGATAATTACAATACAACCCATAGAACCAAAGAAGTTACATAAAGAGGAGGAGGTCTTGAGGGGAATGCATGGATTTCCCTGGGAGGGGAAATAGAATAGATTCTGTGGATGGGGTGGAGGCTGGTGAGATGGGAACAGGAAGGATCAGGTGGGGGAGGGGAGGGGTCTGGGAGAGGATACAGGGAGAGACAATTGAAACAGGAGGGCATTTAGGGGAAGATATGGCAACCTAGAGCAGTGGAAATTTCCTGGAACCTGTGAGGTTGACCCTAGTGAGGACTCACAGTAATGGAGAACACAGAGCCGGTCATCATCTGTAACAAAAACCAGGTCACAAAATCTTTGATGCACAACCTGCAAGACTTACTGGGACAGTGGTGGATCAGAGCTCAAGAGAGTGCCCAACCAAAGACTGGTTTAACCTGAGTTCCACACAAGAGGATGCCCATGCCTGACACTGTCTAGATGGCCAGGATCTGGAAACTTGATGACTCAGAGACCTAGGATAGAACCAAGTATGACTAAAAAAAGTCAATGAAATGATTCCTAATGATATTCTGCTATACTTATAGGATCAATGACTAGTCCAATCATCATCATCATGAGCAGCAGCAGCAGCAGCAGCAGCAGCAGCTGATGGACAGATACAGAGACCCACATCCAAATATATATTTTTTTATTTTCCAACAACCACTCACCAAGAACAAACTCATTACCACTTTTTATCAGTTTCTAACCTGTCGCGTCCGCCTCAACCAGCAAGGAAGACGCAACACCAGGCTCTTCTCCAAGCAGTTTATTCAGGAACCTTAAACAATCTTCTGACCCCGGGGAAAGCCATCTTCTGACTCCCAGGAAAGCCAGTCCACGCCCTTTATAGCCACTGGGCAACCACTTGGACAATGCCGATAGGGTCAGACATACGCAAGCAAGCCAGATTCCACGCCCAAGCCAAATAAGGAGTTGTTTATCCCAGAGAACACCTGCCATCGGGAAGGCGGAAGCCGGACGCCAGCGCCATCTTTGAGGCACAGCCGTGCACGGCTCTCTACACTAACCAATCAAAGTTTTATATTTGCACAGACATATAGAAAGAACAGAATTATATCTACATATAATTACATATAAATATCCATATTAAAAGAGTACAGAAACCATATTTCAAGTGCTACCAATAAAGTACATTGCAAATAGAAGGAAATAACTTGTTTAATAATCTTATGTTTGTATTTTGTATTTAATACCAATTGTAAAACAAGTTAACTTATAATAGATGAATATTCATTAAATATAATGGTCATATATGTACATGACTGACATATTTGATATTGCTCTTTCCTATATACATAGAAAATTCATGAAAGTATGCAACATAAATAATATATAGTGAGTCAGAATAGTTACACATCAATTGCTTTTAAGAACAAAGAAAACTGAATTCAGGTCTACACCTATCTTGGAAGATGGTTTAAAATTCATTATAGTAGGTTAATTGACATTATGAGAGTCAATTGTGCATTGTCATTGTCCAAATATGTGAACATTATAAGTTCATTAACACTTTGAGCAAATGCATCCCATTTCTGCTCAATGTGTTCACACCTTACTGTGCATCCTTGACTTAGAGTAAGACTCATGCATGTACAACAGAATCATGTTCTTTATGAGACACTCAATTACACAGGGAAACTTTTTGCTTTATTCAGTCTCTAGTCTCTTGGGCCAGCAGAAAAAATATATAATTTTACATTTCTGAAAAGTGAATTCCTTTATTTTATGCATGACTATTAGATTTTAGGAATACCTTTAGAGAATATTATAGACAGGGTGGCTTAAACCACAGAAGGCTTTTGTTCACTGGTTTGGAACCATTCAGTCTGAGATCTATGCATTGGTAGTATTAGACTTCCTAAGGACTTGTATTTGGTGTGCTGACAGGTACATTTTTGCTGTGTCCTCACAAGGTAATCTTCCATACATGAGCACTCTTAATGTCTACCTCTTTTTACATCAGAGATATTAAATTAAGGACCGCTCATAGGACTCTATGGACTCTTAATTCCTTCCTTAATAACCCTGTTGCTGTTTGTACATGCACTGAGAATAAGGATTATGCATATGAATCTGAGAAGGAAGAATATGAATTTGTCCTTAACATTCAATATAGCACTGTCAACAATGTAGTGTAAATCATATTTTAAAGAATATTTCAAATGAAAGTATTTTTTTCATACAGCATATTCAAATCAGGGTTTTCTGACACCCAACTCCTCTCAGACCCTCCCTCACTCCCTACTCTTCCAACTGCAGACCTTTAATCTTCACTTTCTCTACCTTTGAAAACAGGCAATGAAAAGAAACAAACCAAAATAAAACAAAACAAACAAAAGAAAAATATGATAAAATATTCACACACACACAAATAAACAAAACCTATCAAAACACACACACAAAAATAAAAACCATAATATACAAGCAAAAGATATGTAAGGTTAAAATAATGTCCAAACAAAGCAGTATGGGGCAGAAAAATCTCTACCATTGAGTTAATTTCATATTGGACATCTACTGTTGGGTGGGGGGCCTGCCCTTCAGTGTAGTTTTATACCAAGTTTAATGCCATTGGAGAAAATGAATGTTTACTTTGCTAGCCTTTGTCACTAGGAGATAACTTCTTGGTTAAGGATGGGAGTGCATGTCCATACTCACTTTGGCTCTTACAATTATTTTTGCTTCCCTTTCCCCATAGTTTCATGAGCCCTGTGGTGAGGGATAAATGAAAACATTTCATTTAGGACTGAGTGCTCTAAGGTCTCTCACTCTCTGTACATTGTTAATTTTTGAGTCTCTGTATTTGTTCCCATTTAATTCAGGAGGAAGCTGCTCTGATGATGGCTGAGCAAGACACTTATCTATGGGTATAGCAGAACGTGTTAGGAATCATTTTGTTGTTACATTCCTTTGGCATAACAGTAGTATTTGGCTTTCCTCTAGGTGTACGGCCTTTCGAGTCTCAGGTTCTTGGACATTCAAGAAGTGTCATGTTTAGGTTCCATCTCATGGAGTGGGCCTTAAGTCCATTCATATAGTGGTTGGTTACTTCATGACGTTGTACCACTGATGGAACAGCCTCTCACACAGCCAGGTCACCATTGTAGTTCAAAGAGTTTATAGCAACGTTGCTGTCTACCTTTTCTTCTGGTAGCACACTGAGTACCTTCTAGTATCATAAACACTAGTCATTAGGTGCAAAGACTCTAGGTAGGCACCTGCTCTAATTCTCTGTGTTCAGTGAGATCTGTAAGTATTGTCTTTAGCAATTGGGGCTTATCATCAGCTTGTGGAGAGCATTCTATAGTTGGAGTTGTTTACAATAAAGTTAGACATAACTCATTCTTGGCATTAGAAGGTTTCACTTGGCGATGAGTAAAGCTCATTGGGCCTTTGTTTTCCCTGTTATTTGGTGACACCTTTTAGATTTCTTCCATATATGTATATATTTTTGAGAAACTTCTGTTGTAATAGGTTTCCATGTGACTCCTCAATGGCTTTTAATTACTACTTCTACTTCACCAGGGTTTATGGGTCTGTTTACATTGCTCATCTGATCTTGATTTAACTTCAATAGGCTGCATATATGAAGAAATATATCCATTTATTTCAGTTTTGCAGTTTGGTAGAATACAGATTTTTAAAGTATACCTCGTGTTTTTCTGGATTTCCTCATGCTTTTTGTGATATCCCTCTTTCATCTATAAATTTATTAATTTGCATATTCTGTCTCTATGTTTTAGTTAATTAGGCTAAGGGTTTATCAATGTTATTGATTTTCTCAAAGAATCAGCTCTTTACTTGACTGATTCTTTTGAATTTTTTTGTAGTTTGTATTTATCTTATTGATTTCAGCCCTGGGTTTGATAATTTCATGACATCTACTTCTTTTGAGTGTTATTTTTTTCTTTTTTTCTAGAGCTCCAGTATGCATTTAAGTAGATGATATGAAATCTTTCAATTTTTTATGTAGTTACTTAGTGTTATGAACATGCTTCTTACAGTCACCTTCATTGTGTTCCATAGGTTTGGATACGCTGTGTTTTTATTTTTATTCTATTCTGAAAAGGTTTTAATTTTCCATTAATTTCTGTCTTGTCCTGTTTGAGTTATTCAGTTTCCATGAGTTTGTTTGTATACTCTCTATTGTTGTTGATATCCATCTTTAATCCATGATGGTCAGATAGGTTAGAGTGTGTTATTTCCATTTTCTTGTGTCTGTTGAGATTTGTTTTGTGTTCAAGCATGTGGTCAATTTGTAAGAAAGTTGCAGGGGGTGCTAAGAAAAGGTATATTCTTTGGTGTTTGGGTGAAATGTTCTGTAAATATATGCTAGGTTCATTTGATTTATGAAATTATTTAACTACAACATTTCTAACTTTAGTTTGTGTCTGGAAGACCTGTCTATTGACAAGAGTAAAGTATTGAAGTCACACACTGTCACTGTTTGAAGGCCAATATGTGATTTTAGCTGCTTTAGAGTTTATTGTATGAACTTGGGTGGCCTTGTGTTTGGTATATTTTTCCTTTCGTGAGTATGAAGTGTCTTTTCCTTTCTCTTCTGATTAGTTTTGGCTTGAAGTTTATTTTTGTCAGACATCAAAATGACTATGCCTGCTTGCTTCTTGGATTCGTTTGCCTGGAATGTCTTTTTTTATCCTTTAACCCAGGATAATGTCTATGTATAATGGTAAGAAGCATTTCTTGAATGCAGCAGAAAGAAGGATCCTGTTTTTGAATTCAGTCTGTTAGTCAGTTTCTTTTTATTGGGGAATTAAGGCCATTAATAGTGAGAGTTACCGATAAGCAGTGTTCATGATTCCTATTATTTTGCTTTTATTGTGTGAGGTTTTCTTTCTCCTTTTTTCATTTGGTGGTCTGGCATTATTTGTTCTTTATGTCTTATTGCGTATGGATGATCTCTTTAAATTGCAGTTTTCTTTCTAGTGCCTTCTGAAGAGCTGTTTGAGTAAATGGATACTGCTTAAATTTGATTTGATTTTGGAATGCTTTTATTTCTCCATCTATCGTGATTGATAGTTTTTTTAGGCATACAGTCTGGGCTGACATTGGTGGTCTCTTAGAGTTTGTAGAACATCTGTAGAGACCGTTCTGGCTTTTACAGTCTTCATTGAGAAGTCAGTTGTTATTCTAATGTGTCTGTCTTTATTTTTTTACTTGATCTTTTCCCCGTGTGGCTTTTAATATTTTTATTGTGGTGATAGAGGTTGCTGTGTAACTTTAGTATTTTGATTATTATGTGTCATGGAGAAGTTATTTTCTGATCCTGTCTATTTAGAGTTCTGTATGATTTTTGTTCCTTGATAGGCACCTCTCTCATTAGTTTAGAGAAATTTTCTATTGTAACTTCTTTTTGAAAATACTTTCTGTTCCTTTGACCTGGATTTCTTCTTCTTCTTCTTCTTCTTCTTCTTCTTCTTCTTCTTCT